GCAGATTCGAAGTAGTGGAGTTTGTAGAATGCAGTAGTAAAGCTAGTAAACAGTGGTCTGCAAAAAGTGGCTGAAAAAGGGGAAGAAGGAGAGAGGGACACACCCGTAAGGAGCTGTAGGCGACTTGGCCATTGGCGACAGCTTTTGGCAAAACGTTTTGACGGAGAACAAAAGACCACTAAGAAGTTTCTGATCTGCCTGTTGAGATTCGAGCGAAACCTTTTTTTGTTTTTGATTGTTCTGATGGGGAATTCCATCGACACGCATAGATCACATGTTGACGTTTTAATACGAAAAAGGAGAACAGGAGCTGAGGTGTTGAAGATTTTCCAGCCTGAGGAGACTGTGATGTTGCTGACGGCTGGGAAGTGGCTATTGACTGAGTGGATGACGCAGGCCCTGCAGTCAAGAACATAGCGAGGTATCAGGATTCAAAAAAGATGGTGACTGATAGAATATTTTATTAAAGTACGCTTATTGAAAATGGAATTTCAAAAGAAAGTATTGAAGCGAAACGTCTAAAACCCCTGTGAACCGACAAAAACGGGAAATTCACGGAACTATATGAAGAGTGAACCTTTTTATGCCCCTCTAAAAGTATTAAATCTGATTGAAAAAAAAACATCAGATTACTGTTCAGCAACCGCTTCGTCATCTGTTATTTCAACTTTCTGTGACTCTAGTCCATCCTCTTCTTCTTTGAGCTGCTTCGGTTGTTCGGTTTCATCTTCCTCGACATCGACAAGTTTAGTTTCGACAACGGTTTCCGTTACAGTCGTTGTTGTTTCTGAAATGATTTTTTCAATTGTGTCATCCGTCGGAACAATTTCTTCATGAACAGTTATTTCCGTTTTCTGAACAAACAATTGTAGTCAAGCAGCCAATTATTTGAGTCTTACCGTATGCGACACTTTCTCTGAACCGTTATCCATTGATTGAGAAGTCGTTACAGCAACATCAGGAGGGAATGCATCATGAACTGTTCCCATCTTCACTGCTGTCTCTTCATTCAATCCCCGAGCAAGGATTATAGCGTCAGATCTGGATGGGATGTTGTGCACGCTATTCCCAATTGTTAGTCGCCCTTGACTCCACGCGTTCGCCAAATGATACGAACTTTCTTCTCCCGCCTCAACCATCATGCTGTGATAGTGTCCATCCAAGTCCTTCAGTGTGCCTGAAACAATGCAGCGTGCTACGACGATCATCTTGAACCCTTCTACCTGCAAGACGCTCTACTTCGCACAAGCTCGCGGCAGATTGAGACGCAATAACAGCGACTTGTTGTGCATAATGCTCAGCCTCAGCGATTGCCGATTGATCCATCAGTTCGGATGGCATCGCGACTTCGATGAACCGAGGGACGTAGAGAGGGGACGTCTTGGCGAGTATAACGGGGACGCAACTGAGGAACTTTGAGATCAACTGTGGTGATCGTTTCAATTGGGACTGGAAACGTGTCGAATGATCTCTTCTTCTACTTCAACATTGACGTATTCAGGAACTGGACGGTCAACGTATTGGGGAACAGGGACTGCGCAACAGACAGAGCAGCAATGTTAGAAATCGAAGGAGAAAGGGAGACTGACCTTTGTTTCAGAACGACTTGTTCGTGAACTTCTGGCACCTCAATGATCTGGGGAAACAGACTAATGACTCCAATTCCATTCTGGGGTATTTACCTTCTCGTATGGGATTTCACGGTATTCAATTTCCGCAACCTAATGGGAGATTGAACTCATATTTGAATTCATATTTGAATTCATATTCCATCCATTTCAGATTCCACTTACTTCGACAATTTTCTCCTGAGTGATAATCTTCGGAATCTCGATAATTCGCTCTTGAATGTCGAAACGTGGAATCTGGAGAAATCGACATCATGAGGAAAGCTTTCTTCTAATGGGAAATACCATTCCACCACCACCGCATCATCAACACGCACCTCTTTGATTTTCTCTTGAAGGATCACTTCAGGAACCTCAACGATGCGCTCGATATATTCAATTTCAGGAACTTCAAGAAGAACAAAGTTTCAAATTCATTTTCGATCAGGAAGTGATGATGGATCGATTTACATGTCAAGTCATGAATGTTTTTACATGTAATTCATGAATGTCTTTACATGTATATATTGACACTCACCTTCTACGATCCGTTCTTGAATGATTGGCTTCGCTACTTCGATGATTTTTTCTCTAACCATTTGAATGTCCTCAACGACTTCTTCATGGACAACTTTCTCCGGAACGACAATCAATTTTTCGACGATGTCTTCACGCACCACTTTTTTAGGGACGCGCACTTCATGCTCAACGATTCTCTCTGAGATAACGTGAGCCTCCCCAATCATCGAGGACTGACTGACGATAGCATGTTGTCCCATATATTGCGATTGAGTTCCATGCCACTGCTGACTGCCATGACGGACAGTCCCAGATGGAGTGTAGCCGCCCATCGACGAGCGATGTGTCACTGTGGATCCTCTAGGGAGGAGACGGTTATTTGTCATAATCGACGAAACCGTTCCGTGATGGGGGTAGGATCCCGAAGGGTTATGTCCCATGATCGAGGGTGTCTCGTACCGAGGCATAGAAGTCATGTATCCACTTGAAGAATATTGATGATTATTGAAAGCTTGAGATGAGGAAAACACGCTACTAGTTCGATGATCTCGAGAAAGGGGAGACGATGTCGGATGCTGAATGGAAGATGCCATAAGATGATTGCTATTACCAAGAGTGCGTTGTTCTGCTGCAACCTTTTCTCGTGGTGTCATCGTTTCGGTTGTCGTTGATTGCGTGGAGGACATGAATGACTAGAATTATCTCTATTGCTCGTACAATCACAGCCTCAAGGTTCAGTACGATCTGACTGCATGCAGCACAACAAAACGCTCAAAATCCAAAATGACGCAGCTGTGGCTCTGCTATTACCAATGTAAAGATGAAGTGCAAAAAATGATCGAGTTAGAAATGGAAAGGTTTAGCCAAAGAACCGTATTCCGACTCAAAAGCCCCAGCGGCAGTCACGACACAGAAATGTACCAGAATATCCGCATAAACTATTTCGTAGTACCTTGAGATTGACAATTCTCTCTATAGGGACTCCTGCTGTGTTGCACCAAGATACGGAGATACGAATGTAAACATGTGTTGAGATTTTAATAGAAGGAACCTCAAATGTCCCCACCCTGGAATGAACCGTCGCTACCTGCCAACCAATCTCGAGGATGATTCGTCCATCAAGCGTCTTCTGTCCCCATCGTGCTAGAGTCACGCAGTCACTTGTTCTTAACCAATTTTGCATTCTCATCAGCTTTTCAAAGTACTGAAGTCTCCGCTTCACACAAGAAGTAAAGTGTCCGCCAAATTGAAGATCAGACTCCGTCAAGAAATGGCCTTTCCGGTTTTTACTCTTCCATTTCACTAGTGCTGCTCTGTCGAGATTTATCGTTGGGATTAAAGGGTTCCACCTGGGCAGAAAGGCCCTTGATGGGGCTTATGAGAGAAAGCGTGGCAAACTCGTAGATCCTCAAAACAGAGAGTGAAATTTTTCAAAATGGAGGAAATAACAGTGAATGAACGGGGGATCAGGAACAGGTGTGGGCAGAATGATGGATGCTGAAAGGCACTGGAACCAACAAAACTGCATCGCGGAAAGGGTCCTGACACTGATTGGTGACCAACCGATTAATGACATCGTGATAGAGAGATTATCCCAAAATGTCCGGGATCAATTTCAATTATGGACTGAATCCAGTGAAAGTGCATTCGTTGGATGCATTCTGGAAACATTCAAAAAGGCGGAAGATCCTCAAAAGATTTGTTTCTATTTGTCTCTCATATCTCAAGCAACTTCATTGTCAAAAACTCTCGCAGTCGAAGTTGTTCAAGACGTCCTTCGTCATCCAATTGCAAATCAGTCTTCCTGTCTTAACTTCTCTCTCTCTTTGATTGATACAGTGGTATCCCGCTGGAACAGATGGGAGAGATACACTGTGCCTGCCATTGTAGATGTTTTATCCTCCTCTCTCTTCTCATCTTCTCCATGCTTCCCCACGGCCGGATTCTCGAAGCTTCTTTTAGCTGAACTCTCCAGTGATGCTTCAATTTCCATAGCCAAGGATATTCTGAATGAGAGTCTCACAAAAGTGGAAGCAGAGCCCGGAAGCGAGTCCAAAGTTTTGGAGATATTCTTGCTTCTCGTTTCCAGCCAAACGATTCGCCCGCAAACATCTTCAGATAAGAACGGGAGGCTCAAGACCGACGGAAGGCCGGAAACACGCAGTAGGGAGCAAGGATCTGTTTCAGCAGAACAGAAAAGCAGAGAATGGTGGGAATTCGTGCTGGATTGTTTCATCAAAATCATTACCATTCTATCCAAAAGAAATCTCCAACGTGAACTTGACTTCCAGGGCAATCTGCTGCGTTGTGCGTTGGGTTGTCATCCGTTGATGTGGGAAATGGCAACGGAGGGTTATCATGCTTCCCAGGCATTTGATGTTCTGGAACAAGCTCTTTGGACTGCAGCTTCTTGCCGCTCATCGCAAGATAAAGTTGCACTCCAATTTAAGAAGTTGGCATTCGAATTTCTTAGAGTCGTTTCAACAACCTCCTCAGCGTGGTCTGATTTCTGGACTCTCATTGACTCCCTGAATTCGAACAGCCATCATTTATTGTCAGCGGTTTGGGAGAAGTCGTTCAAACACTTGATTGAAACTGGGACAAAAGAATCGTTCCCTACTTCAACTTTCAGTGGACGATTCCAAACAGTCAATACTTCATGTCTCAAATGCATCTTAGAATTGGGTTTGTCTCACGATAATCCTGCATCACTACGATTTGTTGTGGACTTCGTTCTCTCACACCCCGCCCTTCTCATTAAGCTCATCGGTCCAAAGCTCGTCAAATCAAAGATCTTCGGGTGGCTTAAGTCTTATCCCTCCTATTCGGAACCTGATTGGTGTTTCTCAGCTCTTCTTCCTCGCTTCTGTGAAGTCCCGTGGTTTCTGAGGGCAGTCGGTAGCAAAGAATACCGGAGTAATTTAGTCACATTCACTCGGAACTTTATTTTCTCTTCTGTTGAAGATTCAAGTGGACATGAGGTGATGATTGTACAAGCTCTCCGCCTTCGCCTTTTGAGCTTCCTTAATACAAAAGTGAAACACCATCTTCCCATGGCTGCCCTTCTCGAGTCTCTCGTTAATCCGCCCCTTGCTATCCAATGGAAGAGCAATGAGATTGAGCTGCTAACTGCCTTGCTTGATATGGTCAACCGAGAATTCGCGTACCAATCACGGCCTCATTTGTCTTCACTCCTCTTGACGTTGTTATATCAGTCAAGGTGTTTTGCTCCCCAATTTCAAAGTCATCGACATCAACGCTTCGTTCAAATATCCGCCATTTTAGCGCCTCTTTCTCATTCTTTCATTTCAAACTCTTCTTGTCACACTCTCATCTGCAGTTGCATTCAATCAATGCAACCAGAAGTATCCGGATCCTCGATGGTTTCTGATGTTCTGCACTTTATGATGAACGAGAAATCGGAATCTTCGTCTCCAATTGGAAATTGCAGATTCATCGCATTCAGTTTGTTGTCGTTAAAAAACGACGATCCTGTATTCAATGATGCTTCCCACCAAATCAATGACGCGCTTCTGGAAAATTCCATCGACAGGGTTGGTTTACTATCATGCAGCATTTTCAGCCATTTTGTTTTCAGTTCTTGCAACATTTCTCTTTGTCTTAGATCAGTGGAGCATTTGATCAAACAACGGAAACCGAGTGGACTGCTCGAGATGAATTTTTGCTCAACCATTGCACTTTGCTCGCCCATACATTCAACTCATTGCCAACATTAAGCATTTTCCCGGCGTCACTCTTGCTTCGTATTGTTGAGTGCATTCAAACTTTGGTAGCTTTGAGGGAAGAGAAGGGTTTTACGTTGGAGGAAGAGATTCGCTGGTTCCGAACGATGGTCTCCCTTGCATCTCTCGTCAAGTTTGTCCGCTCGGACACTCAATCGAATTCAGACCCTCAGATGCAAAAGTATCATTCATTTTTAGCAAACCGATTGTTCCTTCTTCTCGAAAGCAAACAGCCGGGGCTCCAACTTTATGCCGTTTTAATTGCGTTGAGTTGTTTGGGAAATTTTCCAGATAAGAAATTTGAAATCAGTGACGCTCACTGTTCTGCCATCCTCGAATTACGAGAGGGTACTTTGAGGGGTGAGTCATCAAAGAGCACAACGATTTTCATACTTAAGTGATTTTCGCACAATTTTCAGACCTTGTCAATAGGTGCTCTTCGATGCTATTTCCCTGCGACCTTTCTCTTTCCTCCATTGCTGACGCTTTTTCATCCGCGAAATGGAATCTTCTTGGATACTCGATTTCAGCAAACCCACGCCCAGATGGCTCAACTAACGACTTCAAAACACGCTTATGTCTACTGATTTTCAATCACCTCCCCTTAGAGAGTTCAACAGCCCTCCCGCATTTGCTTCGTCTCTTGCAGTCGACGGTCCTTCCTGTTCTGTTTGACTCAAAACGAGAACTTGGTCAACGCCAACAACTCCTAGTGTCCCTGTCGTGCAGCCTCAACCACCTGGTAGTTGAGCTGGGGACAAAATCGATCGGCGGTTCAGTTCCGCTCTTGAAACAACTGGCTGAAACAATTTTGGGAAATCCTTCCATCATCCTTCTGGATCTCCAACAATCGCAGCCCGTTCTCCTTGAGACGGCAATTCGATCCATCTTGCAAATTGGGACACGAATTGTGGGGCTTGCGAGAGCCTTCATCGGTGAGAACGGAGAAGGATGAATGAAACACTCGAAGTGGTTGTTCTGTATTTTCTTCAGTTCCATTATTGTGTGCACTGCGGTCTTTGGTGAAGGTTGGAAATGTCGAGCTCATAACTCATGCTTCTCAATTGGCTGCATTGATAACAGACTTCTTAGTTTATCGCGAACCATTAATAGAGGTTCGTTTATTGTAGCCACCAAACGATTCAGGAATGAATACGACTCAGAAGAAAGATTGACAGCCCACGAAAAAACTCATCAAGTTCGCATCTTTCCATTCAGCTATCCGAGCATATTGATGCTAATTCGGTTGTGGGAACGGATGATGAAATTGATCAACGCGTCGAGGTATGGAACTGCCTGTTCTTGAAAATGAGGAAATTCACTTTATCGTCGTTTTTTCTTGCAGTTTTTCCTTCCTACATCAGCATATGTGAGATTTTGTACACTCAGCTTCATCGAGTGGATGACCGAAGAGAGTCATCGCACTCCAATGATATCAGCCCTTGCTGCATCCATCGCGAAGGAAGTGACAAACAGGCTTCATGAAATTCATCGGGAGACCATTCGGTCCAAAAATCCATCGCTGCCTCATACAAAATCGCATCGTCATCAAATCCGTTTGTGGCAAGCATTATGTTGCCTTTCCTCCCATGAAGATTTATTGACGGAAATCATTTTAAGCGACGTGGACTATTTTCAAGTTTTGTGGGAATTTCTTGACGGTGCTTCTCTTCCTGATATCCGTCATCTCATGGAAGTATTTTTTTCTCGACTCGCCGTTGCATGGCCATCGTTCTCAATTCCTTTCCTCCTCAAGGGAATTTCACACATAAACGCTCCAACCCAGCAAACTTCATCGTTCATAATAATAACTGGTGCATTCCTCCTACGCAGCGGATCAGCCAAGATTGTCGATGCAGACGTTAGTCGACTTGTAGAAGGTCTTCTTCCGTCTGCAACTTCAAATAGCGCTTTAATCAGAGGAACAGTTCACTATCTATTTGTTACATTGTTTGCTCCAGATCCAAGGTAAGCGTCTTTCCAAAGTCTAGAATCCCTGTGAACTTACTTCTCTCAGCTTGCCAAGCATCCCCTGGTCCAATTTCACAACCAATGGGCGTTTAATGGAGATCTACGAAACCAACCGTGCAGTTTCCTCAATTGTTCATTTTTTGCTTCAAAGCAAAGAAGCCCAGAAAATGCGAAGACGCCTTCACAGCATTTTTTCTTCATGGAATCTGCTTGAGGAACAGACGCTTTTGTGGTTGCTTCCAGAAGTAGGACGTTCAGTTGTGATCCAGCTAATTGGTTTTTCTTCAGAGGCCTTCTGATTTAGAATCGGGATGGAATGGCGGTCAATCTGAATTTGACCAATTTGATATCAGAGTTCCAACAGCGCTCGCTGCAGTCTTGAAGTAAGATTCATTTACTGCAAACAAAATCGATTCTATTTTTCACTTCAGAAACGCGATCAGCGAGACTCTCTCTGCGATGCCAATTTATGAATCTGGATCGCCAGTGAATGTCACCCCTCTTCCTGATGTAGGTCACCCCTTCTATCACTCCCTCTGAAGCTTTCTACCATTGAAGGTTCCTGATGCGATTGATTATCAACGCAAATTCGAGCCAAATGAAAGCGAGGACGCTGCAAGGACTTCAGGATCCTCCCGCCGCCCAACTTCCCTGATTGTTGTTGCCTCCCTTGTTGATAAATTGCCAAACCTTGCTGGGCTTACCCGAACTGCAGAGATATTTGGGGCAGAGTAAGAGGGTGGTTTATCCAAAATTTCTTCACGAGTATTTGACTTCAGACGAATTCTCTTACCAAGTCTCGCTGCTCTTCGTGATCCAGTGTTCGTTTCTTGTTCTGTTTCGTCGCATCTATGGATACCAACAGAAGAAGTGAGTCGCATGGTTTGGCAAGAATTATGCCTGAAGGTTGCTCTTTGGTCTACAAAGCTCTCATCTTCAGGTAACCCCAAACGACTTGCCAGTGGCTTTGCTGAAGCTCAAACGTCAAGGGTACACAATCGTAGCGGTTGAGCAAACCAAAAATTCGATATCGCTCGATCAATTTGAGTTTCCAAAGAAATGTGTAATCGTTCTCGGATCAGAAAAAGAAGGGATTCCTGCAAGAGTATTGGCAGTCGTTGACTCTACAATTGAAATTCCGCAGAGAGGAGTTATCAGATCGTTAAATGTTCACGTTTCTGGAGCTTTGGCTATTTGGCAATACACACAACAATATGGAGCTGCTTGTTAAAATGTTGAAATATGACGCTCTAAAAAAATCAAAGTTCGAGAGATCTGCGAGTCAGAGGAAATCATCGGCTTCGTTGTACATCATTGCAGACACCCCGCCCTCATCCCATTGGGGGTGTAGAGGTCGACTGGGAGAAGCGCGAGTTAGATGGCTCTTCAACTGAACTAAGCTTTTCAAGCTTTTTGCAGTAGTAGACGTGATGGTGCTGCACTGTGAGAGAGCCAACTGCGCAACCAGAGCATCACTGAGCTCATCTTCGTTTTCTTGAGCCATATTTTGATCGCAAGATGATTTTCTTTCACGTTGAACTGCATGACAAATACTCGACAATTTGTTCAAAAGACACATTCGTTCTCCACTGTGATCAGCATCGCGCTGAGATTCCAAATACGCAACTGCTTCGTCGATTTTTGCTTTCAGTTCTTCAGCTGCATCCACCCATGAATCCAGATGAGTCGCCAATTGTGTATCAGCGACACGATCTGCAACTGTTCTTGATTGCGTTGCTGTTAGAGGGTTGGATGACTCGTTCAATAACGTCTTTGATAGAACTGCTTTCGATATCACATCAGACAGAACGATCCGCTCAGCTTCGCCAGCTTCTAACTTGAAACTAATTTCTCTTAAGCACTCCGCTAAATTGAGTGAAGTGCTCGAGAACTTGTCGAAGAGCTGGATTTGAATGGACTGCTTTCCGTTACTGGGAGACGTATTTTTTGGGGATTCTTTGATCAAAGATTGGGCGCAACTCCCGCTAAGATCAATCTGTGGCGCTGATGGGCTCTTGAGAGATAGAATGTATGGCGAGTCGCAATATCGACCAGATTCTTCCAGAAATTGAAGCATGAACGGTGAGAAATCATCCGATCCAGCGACATACCAGCCAACTAGTTCAAGTGTTGGAAAAACCTCATGATACTGAGAAAGACGCTGTTGAAAGAAATCCCAATCTGGCAACCCTCTAGACCACCTCGGAGCTGTTGATTCCTCTGATGCTGATAGAAAAGCAATCTCAAATGAGTTGACTAAAGCTAAATGTCCTCCGTCCAAAGTCCCCAGCAACGCTCCCAAAACAACCACATCCGATTGAGACTGAAATAATCCATGTTGCCCACTGATAGCACGACAAGACTCCCTCGTTAGATGATCGGATACGTTTATCAACACTAAAGGATGGAGAATGGACTCCATGATCGACGTCAGTTTTTTTCAGACGCGTGACTGGATCAATATTTGATCTATGGATGGCGTACAGCATTTTGATTTTGACTTTGGAATTGGACTGCCAGAAGAGGAACGCCAGCAATTGAATGAAATTTACAGTACTTTACTCAGTGGGTGGTTGTTCCCCTGTCGCTCGATTTTATACTTCTTCTTCTTTCAGTATTTATTCAAAATTATCTAGAACCAGCAGTGTCTGATCATCTCACAGATGCCGAAGATGTTTCTGGCGATCCTCCGTCAAAGCGTCCCCGTTTATCAGAATTCAAATCTCCAGAAAAACCAACTCCTATGGCTTCAGCCGCATTAGCTCAAGCAGCAGCTAATGCTCCCTCTAGTGTTTGGGACATTTTCGATGATGTTTTACGAGATGTTGCAAAAAAAGGAACTGCATTGTGAGTTGTTTGATTCCATAAGTGAAAGTTAAAACTGAATATGTGGGGTTCGTGTCGTAACTTGAGAGTAGAGATCAAGTTATTTCTTGAGAGTCAAGTTGAATAACTTGATCTTGACTCTTCCAGTGGAATACGGCGAAAATCCGTCTGTTATTCATCTCAGATGTTCGTGGCCATTTCTAAGGGTGATTATCGCTGCTAAAATGGAGTTTGTAAGTGAGAGATATGAGCGCTTTGAAAAATGCCCCTTCCCTCAGCTCTTTTCCTCCTCCTTGGGTTCGATGCGACCTCGTAAACCAGATGATCTTGAATCTTTGCGTTCTTCAATTGTTCATTTATGGGATTTGGATGTGTAAGCGATTGCTCTGATGGGGTCACTATGAATGAGTATGGGGTTAAAGCTATGAATGAGTACAAGCCATACATGTTTGTTTTTTAGCGCTCCATTCACTGTTCAACGTGCAGCAGAAATTTTAGTCAATTCCCGTCAATACAGAAATCCTAGAAAGCTCGCCTTTGCTTTGGATAAGGTGAATTTTTCTTTGTTTTTATTTTTCATCTCTGTTTTTATTTACAGGTCTTTAGAAGTGCGACTCTTCCTTTAGCGTGGGATAAGAAAGCGTCTTATTTTGAGCATTATTATAAATCAAACTTTGACTCGATGCTTTCTACTGCAATTGCTTCTGTAAGCGCCATAGTCTCGGATTGCCGTTCCATGATTCTTTACGCAGGGTCCACGGCGTCCCCGCACTCTTCTTCCCCGTTCCCCCGCTTTGAAACCCTGTGGGCGTCTCAGTTCAACCTCCTCAGTGGTTTCGTCTCTCTCCACGCCTGTTCTCGCTGGCCCTCGTCTGAGAGACGCGAAACGGCCATCGGATGAGGAAAACTCTCAGGAAGGGGAGACTCCTGGATTTTGGCAAGAGGGCGAGCTTGACGAGGAAGATGAAGAGGAAGTGATGGGAGGAGATGAAGAAGATGCAGAAGAGCAATTTGATAAAAGCAATAGCGAATATGTTTTATCTCTCCCTGAAAATCCTCCTTCATCAAGGCGTCTAGTGAGACCCCATCAGCTACCACGAATGGCTCAAAGTCATACGATCCAATCAGCTAGAAGGAAGACTGGCGGAGTTGCGGATCTCCTAAGAGACCTTCATGATGAGTTTGATGAGCCGGTGTCTCTTGGACAACCAGATAAAGCATCACTCGACCCATCCAAGGATACAAATTCTGGTTTGGGTTTACTCACTGGGTATTTTGATGAAGAAGAAGAGGGAGTGGCAAGGACGGAATCAACTACTAGCGTTGAAGCAATGAAGTTGCTAACAGATTCGCTTAATCAGCATGTAGAGCATGTGTGATCATTGCGCACTGCACCTCAGACTGATTTCCCATTGCCGGTAAACACACATCCTGGACTGTGCCTGGTGAACCCTGATCTGTAATCGTTCACCTGAGATACAATGGCTCGTACCAAACAGACTGCTCGTAAATCAACTGGAGGCAAAGCGCCTCGCAAACAGCTCGCGTCTAAGGTGAGTGATGCGCGAATGCCATCCCTCATTCGGAGTGTTTTTAGGCCGCGAGAAAGTCGGCTCCAATTACTGGTGCCGTCAAGAAGGCACATCGCTACCGCCCAGGAACCGTCGGTGCGTCTTTTTAGTTTTTGGCGGGTTCATGATATTATTCTTTTATAGCGCTTCGTGAAATCCGAAAGTATCAGAAGAGTACCGAATTATTGATCCGTAAACTTCCCTTCCAACGATTGGTCAGAGAAATTGCCCAAGAGTTCAAGTGCGTGGTTCTCCAAAATATTCGCGCAAAATAGATTATCATTTCATCGCTCTTGCTTTGTCGCTTCGGTGGTTATATGCCTGGCTGTTGTTCCAGAATTTTGTTTGTTAATCTTGGTTTTTCTTTTAGAGCGGATCTTCGTTTCCAATCCCAGGCAGTTCTGGCTTTGCAAGAAGCGTCAGAAGCCTATTTGGTCGGGCTTTTTGAAGATACGAATTTGTGCGCAATTCACGCTAAAAGAGTGACAATTATGCCGAAGGATATTCAACTCGCCGACGAATTCGCGGGGAGAGAACTTGATCCATTTATTGATATCAAGCATGCTCCGTTTTTTTCAAGTAAACGAAAGGAATACCGCACTAAAAAGTCCTATCGCTTCAAAGCCACAGTCCAATCGCAGGGAGCGAAATCCTTCTGGAATTCTTCAACAGATGACTGATAGCTTCTATACAAAGATAAATAGAAACAAAAATAACCAGATGATCCACTCGTCTCTCTCACTCTGGATCCGGATAATAAGTTTCATTAGAATCCAATTCCATCATTCCTTGAATGACACTCCTTCCCAACGATCGAGGAAATTCTTGATCTTCCACAACGTGAACCATCCCCCCATCTACAACACACGAATGACGAGTTGAGTATGCGGCTCGGTACTCCGGACATGCTCATTCAGACCCTTTACATTATCTTTTATCACCCTTTAAATTATCTTTCTATCCCCCTTTAAATTATCTTTCTATCACCCTTTGGATTATCTTTCTATCATTGCTTACTCAAATTGAAATCGACATGAAAATATTGGAAATTCTTGGGAATCACACCTCGAACCCCTTCGCGACGTGTTTGTGGCACATCGATGATTTTTTTATGTTGCGACCACTCAGACCCAATTTCAGACAAAGCTTTTCTAAAATACGCCTGAAGAACAAACGTTATTGCTGATGATGAATGTTCTACGAGTTGGTTATAAATGTTGACTCTACCTTGGCCTCTCCGATTCGATCGAGATCCATACCGAAACAATCAACTGTTGTGTGTCCCCCACCTCCCATCAAACTTCTCTCCATGGAGACAATCCGGGACGAGCATTCGACAAATACAACTCCCATATTTCGCTCATCGAAAAATCTACAGAATTAACGTCAGAATGAACTTGTTTACTAGCAGATGACTCAGAATAAAAATTGTTGGGAATCAAAGTTCGGATAAGAACTGGTTCTTATAGATCGCAGGTAGAAGCATCGTAGTACCACTAACCACCAAAGTTTTACCTAATCAACGATTTCTGGAAATTTCTGATATCTTGATAAACATCTTCATCCAAAGCTGTTGTACTGGACGAATGGCTCTAAGGAACAAATAGAGGTAACAAGAGGGTACCCCAATAAATCAACTCACAACAGGAGAGATAAAAAGATGATACTTAACGACACATTGTCGAAAACTTTGAAAGCAAAGATACGCATTTGGTGACATCGCAATCAGACTTCTCCCCCGAGCAGCATGAAATTTGGAACTCTCCGGGCAAAACAAGCACCTTTAAAAAAGTGATTCTTCAACATATCTATAATTATCTTACTTCTGTAATGCTCTGTTCAAATGACGAGTATCTGCAATTCTTCGTTTACTATTTTCCCCAACTTGTCTTCTTCTCCCATCTTTCAACAGCATCTCCCTCATCATCATCTTCATGGAGATTTCGATAACTTCGACCCCTGGCAATCATGTTATTATGTTTTTAATCATTAAGGCATGATGTTTATTTTGTCGCTAACTCGAATGATACTAGTCGAATGATACTCTAATTCCTCACTTTTTAAGAATATAATCTTCAAAATGACGATCATAATTCTCAACCCCTTCGACTCTAGTAGATCGATACAACTCAGCGACAGAAACATCATCAGAATTTCTGAAGAACCCAAATGTGAATATTCTTGATTATTTCGATCCTTCTCACCCTTTCGCTTGTTTCTCTCTTGTTTTCTTACGCGATTTCCTCTCCATATCGATCGACGTCAGTGGCAAATACCTTCCCTCAGCATCGACATCTTCTATAACGCGGACTTCTTCTCTTCGAGCGTCCCTTCTTGCGCCCTTTTCCCCTTGTGCCCCTCTTTCTTTCTCCTCTGCTTTTCTCTGTTCTTTTTCTACCAATCTGACTTTTTCTGCCTCAAGCTTTTGATAGCCCTCCAGATCGCCTGCCATCAACAGTTTCAATGCTTTACTAGCAATTGTATTTGGATCTTCATCCAGCTGCGATTCCTGCACTTGCTTCCATTCATTTCCACCGCCGTCATGCTTCATTTCATCTTCTACCCTCTCTACCATTTCGCGTCTACTTCCTTCGCATCGCCCGTTTCGTCCAAATGACGTTTCATCTTCACTTCCACTACTTTGCACTTGCATTTGTCGAAGCTGTTTGAAGTCCTTTTTACCACGGCGCTTCCCCCAGCGCCCCGCTGCTTCCTCCTCCTTCTTGAATTTGACGACAGGCGACTCATCTGGGCATCGTTCCTGTTCTTCTCTCCTTCTTTCTCTCCTTTTACGCCATTCACGACCAGAGTCTCCGACAGCAGTCTCAGTATGGTGGACATTGCGCTGTGGCATCTCTACAGTCGTGTCCTCCTTCCCTGATCCTCGAAGATGGAGACCAGGTCCCAAAACATCCTCAAGTGGTTTGTGTCTTCGACGCGTATAGATATCCTAGAACGACGGACTGGATGTTCAGCGACGACGACGACATCTCACCTCCACTTTTGTAGCTCGCGTTTCTGTTTCCTTTGAGCTTAACAAGGAATCGAACTCTCCTATCTGACACCAAGATATTCACCATACTGGTCTTCTGGCTCACCATCCACGACTCTCTTGCTAACTCCTGTCCCCCACCCTGAGAGGAAACGGACGCCTCTTCACGTCTGACCCGTTTCGAAGCATGTTCGCAATCAGCTTCTGTCTCCTTGCTCTCCTTCCGTTTGTGCTTGCCGTGCTTGTCGACGATTTTTGCACCACGCAGCATGGTCCTTCTGAGACAGCTGTTGATTTCTGTCGCACCGAAAAATGTACGAAAAAACTATAGAACGCAGCTCATCTTTTTTGACGCTTTAGCAGAACATCGATATCGGCTGTAACAGCATCAACTAATTCCTCATCTTGTTGTTCCAGTGCGATATCTGCTGCGCTTATGCCGTCTTGATTCACCACAGTTGCCGACGCTCCTGCTATTCTTAATAATTCAACAGCCCTCACATTTCCCTGACACACAGCCATTGCTAGCGCCGTATTTCCCTTTTCGTCAAAAAGCGTTGGGTCAGCACCAAGATTGAGTAGCTGTTGAATACACGGCGCCACCATTTCATCTCCCATGGCTGAACAATGAAATAATTGCATTAGAGGTGTGAGCCTCTTGCTATTCGGTCTATTGAGTATTCCAGTCACGTAGACGCTCCATATTGGTAGATCGTCCGTGCTATTCCGCGACTTCACTTGACCGACCGAATCACACATTTGTTTCTTAAACACCAGCCAGTCGAGCAGTTGACGCACTATATCTGCCCTGTAGAACTCAGATTTCAGGGACAACATCAGAGGAGTATCGAACTCCTCTTTATCAAGAAGCGTTAGATCAATATTTTTTAACGAAAGGAATATTCTAATTAATTCAATTCTTCCTTTTTTGATACAATTATGGATGAGCTCATTCTCGTTGTAGACGCTTATCAGTTGCCTGATCTTTTCCAAAGACGACCGTTGAAATGAGTATCCCAACACACTCGAACTATTTCCCTTTGGATCCGTTGCTTTGTAGAGTTGCTCTAATAGAACGTGCATGTTGCTTTCAACGATGCGAAGGAGAAGATCGGGCGGATAAGTTGATGAAAGACTCAAGAGCATGGCAGTTAGCTGATCGTTCCCAACTCTGAATGCGACTCCAAGAGGCGTTTCTCCATCCTTGTTTTGAGAGTCCAAGAGATCTTTGTTCATGGATAAAAGAAGGTCTGCGATCCCCAACGACCCATGCTCGATTGCAACATGGAATGGAGTATTTCCTGAACGAACAACAACAGCAGAGTAGTTTCATGACTTGATAGATTATTCGCACGAACCAGATGAATTCTGTTGAATTGCTAACGGGGACAAATCTCCATGAAGGGCTTCCAATGATTTCATAGTTGCAAGAATTATTTTAGAATTGAGTGATTTTTTCGCTGCATAGTGAAGAAAGTTATTTCCATCACCATCGCAGATTCTTGGATTGAGTTCCTGCTAAAGAAAAAATAAAAAAAGAGATGCTGAGAGGCAACTTACCGCGTGCCGCTTAAGAAGCTTATTGAGGGCGTCGGTATTCTTGTGTAGAATTGCAACCATAAACGGAGTTTGTGACTTCAGGTTGACAGCATTGACATCAAGACCCCTCGCCTTCAACAGTTCATCACTAATTTTGAATTTATGAAAAGCAATGCTCAAATGAAGTGCCGTATCTCCACAATCATCTTTCACATTGATGTTATCATCAAGCAATGCAGCTAGAACTTCCTTCGTTTTTCCTTTTTTGATGTCTAAAACGATGGAAGGCCCAAGCTGTGAAAGCCTCGTGGGGGCAATTCTTGAAGAGGAACAACGGGACAGAAAACGCATTTTGAGCTTTTAACACCAGAGCCACATGCAACTGTCCCGTCAATGAGAGGTGACAGTAGGGACATCTAGGGCCATAGACATCCTTACCGCTTTCTCCCTAAGCACCATATCGGCATCCCTATTGCACCTTTGAATTTGTTTCTTGCTATTTTTTTTGTTTGCCGCGATACATGCATTGTATGAGGTCCACATCCTTGACTTTTGAATAACGAAGCTAAGGGCTCATGACTCTCAAGCCCAGATGTGAATACAAACATGATGACGCCGAATAAGGTTTGATTTATTTTTTGGGTATCATTTTTTGCCAACGCCACTCTGCTGCCCCGTCTATGTGCGAAAACAATGACGAATCACCAGGTGGATAGCCCCATTGTCGATCAAGATGGAGTTCCCAACGCGGATACCTTCGGAGGAATTGGTCGCCATCTCCATATTAATGGTGACCAGCTAAATGATGATTTCGAAATGGCTCATTTGGCGGATGCCATATCAGATATGAATGCCCGACAATTCCTCGATCGCGAAGGCTTCGGAGAGAGATCTGATTTCCAAGCAGCTTTCGAGTCTCATCGCTCTGGTCATCCTTACAGACATCGTGAGAATCTCCGAAGCGGGAGACTGTCGTTCATCGCGCGTGCACTTCTCATTTTGGTCGGAGGCCTCACTCCTTTATTAGTCGAAATGTATAGTCTGAGGGATGCTCTGTCCCAATTCCTCGATCATCACTCGTGGATACAATTGCGAGCCAAATATAACCCGACTCTATTGAAGCAAGATGTCGTGATTCGCATACCAAGAGAGTTGATTAATGGTGCCGTTTTGCTGCTTCAGCATGGTGTCAACCCGGAGTCTTGTCGTTTGAATTGGCGGGTAGGTAATGAAGGGAGATCAAAGAAGGAAACCGAACATTCGAACGTCGACGGACAAACTCGTCCTCCGACACTTCGATCGTCTTCACCGACATTTCTGGAAACGCCACACGATCATCCGATTCGCAGACGCCCTGGCGAGTGGGGGGAAGAGAGCCTGGGCCTGCTTCCACTGCGGGTGGAATTATTGATCGTCTTCACAGGAAAACGACAGAACCGATCGGACAAGAGCAAAGAGTTTGCTAGTAGCCAGACTGACGGAACTGAAAACAGGAAATCCGCGACTGTCGGACGCGAACCGGAGAGCGAAAGAAGAAGACTTCTTGGAACTAATGAAGTGCATATGAGAGAAACTGATGAACCGATTAGCTGTCCGATTAAGCTGACGACATTATTGTGTGACTCAAGAATATTCTTGGCTGCGCTTAAAGCTCCAAGTCGTCTTTGTGGGGGGGGGTCTCACCCAACGAATCGCAGATGGTGCCGCTACGAGGTCCATTTGGTACAATTTGGCGGTAAAATGGAACATATTTTCGAGACGTCATTTGATCAGTGGCCTCTGGTTGACTCCCTGGTTCAACTCAACTTTAATAACGAATCTAGGGGATGCGTTGAAATTAAGGGGAGGATCTCCGCCCGATGAGAATTTCAACTTTGGAAAATTCCAATTCTTGTCCGCCTTCTCTCACCCACAATGTTCTGCATTGAAACAGAAAGACGCAGAATCACAAGAATCACGTCAAGTTCCTTGGAACTCAAATTCGCATAACCAGGAGCACTCGACTGTCATCTTCTCAGCCTCACAAATCGACGATGATATCACACCCACATTTCTATTCCGTTTTATGACGATTGCGTTTCTGTTCGGAAGATGGATTGCGGCTGAAGTGCGAGTTGTGATTGAAATGTTTCTGCCTCCCATTCTTGTTACTGAAGTGCTTGGGTGGTGCACGATTTTTTCCTTTCGAAGATTCCACAGTCTGTCCCAATGCGCCTCAAAATTGCTACGATGTTTCGTTCTTCGATTTTTCGGGGCTGTTTCAGAAATCGTTGCCAGTATCGAGCGAAGCACAACAGAAGCCATTTTGCTTCGAACACCTCTCCGACTTCTTCTTGAAGCTTCGACTGAAGACGATTTGGGACAACCAAACAATGAAAATCGAGATTTGGATGGAGAAGATGAGAACTTCGATGACGCGTACTGGCAACGACAAAGTCGATATCAGGAAGTCTTAGATGGTCAACTTCTTGGTCTTCATGCAATTTGGCGCACGTCTAATTTCTGCTGTCATTACTTCTGGTACGTTCACAATGAAACGCTCTTTTTGAAGTCTTCTTTCAGGTCTTGTGTTACGCTTCTCGCTTTGCAATGTCTGTCCATTGATAGATCTGTTATTCGTTGGAAGACTCAAGGAAGTTTTCTTTCTGTTTCTGAACTCTTCCTCCTTCAAAAACTCGCATGGATTGCATGGGGGGTCGTTGTTATCACGATTCACTTTTATCCAATTCATCTGTCCTCACCCCACATCATTACTACAACGAGGACCACGGAGCGATTCGCCATGCAAAGGATTCTCTATCTCATCAGATGGATCACTTCAATCTGGCCGGCTGGTGGTGGATGTAAGCAACAGAGAGTCCTCTTCTTTTCATCTCCTCGACTTCTTTTCAGTGTGCTATGTGCTAATCGCATACTCCTTCGCTACAATCACATCCTTGTGGTTCTGGAGTGAGTCAAATGAATCCAACCCTTCATGCGTTCTTGTTGCAGGAATCCATGCAGCAACGCTTCGTCCCGTTGGTCTCTACATCGCCTGCTTGTTAGGAGAAACAATCCTACGTTCCTTTTTGGGAGTTGAAATCGATACCGTACCAGTTGAATCCGCGTTCTCTGACCGGCCTAGAACGCGATCACGGCCGCCAGTTCGAGGGTTGCCGCCTCCCGTCCCACGCAGATACGATGCACAACAACGACAACAACAAGCCGGTATTTCGGTGGAGAGACCAATAAGGCGTGATGTGAATGGAAGATTGGATGAATTGATCGAGAGGTTACTTACCCAGCAAAGAGGAGTGGAGCTACTAGGAGGGTGGATGAGATCAAACAATGTGGTGCCTGATCGCGATTGGGTCGATGAGAACTGGAGATACGGAATCAAAGAGCGTCGAATTGAGGGAAGTAATTTCTTGCAACTCCAATCCAAACTCTTTATCGTGGAGAAATATGGAACGAATTTCTTCAAGTACGCTAATTCCATGATGTTGATTTTTGATGCTTTTGACTTTAGAATTGTCGACCCAGCATCCATCGAACAAAAGAAACACAACGAGGATGAAGAAAGCAATTTGGGAAATCATGGAACTGAAATGAACCAAATTCGAGAATGTTCCCGACCATTCTGTTATATTTGCATGAGTGAACAAGACGATGCCGTCCTTATCCCTTGCCTCCATTCTGGCATTTGTTTGCCTTGCGGACGATCCATTCTAGCGAATGCAATCATGAGAAGAGTATTTCCCAAATGTCCTCTCTGTCGTGGTTGGGTCTATGGATTGGGACAGTTGGAAAATTCATCACTGACATTTCTATCCCAATTGTTGGAACGAGATCATGGCAAGAATAGCAGCACTCCTCCCATGCACGTCAGCAGTTCAGCATCCATTTCAGACTTTCATGATCCGAGTTCTCATTGCAGCACTCCATCCAGTCCATCGCGTCAACAGAATTGCCGCAATTTCTCATACCGCTTACTTCGGCTCATTCTAGCAATCAGACGTCCGGTAGTGCATGGATGATCATTTGAACACTCAGTTTGTGGTTCTAAATTGAAGGAACTGAGAAATTGAGAAAGTTGTGAATTCGTTGTTCTTCAGATTGAAAGAGCGTTGCAAAAATTGGATGGAACAGAGAGACAACATTAACCCAATCATACACTTCCAACAAAAATATGAACTACAGAATTGAAAAATCGATCATGAATTTGATGATCGTATTTGCAGGATTGAGAATGGCGAGCACAGCAGCAACAAGCTGACGAGAGTGAACACCTTTGAAAAATCAGTGATCGATAGAACGACCAAAAAATAAAAATGCGCACCTGAGAGCTGCAACAAATTTTTGGAACACAAATTATTGTGAATATTGTTACTCTTCCTCGCATGATGATGTGGATAGCAGGGTTGATAGAGCATTCCAAACAGACCGTTCTTGCTTTTGGGTGCAGAACTCATGATTAGAGAAGGAGTCCCCATCGAGTGTGGGGATCGCTTGGTTGTGCAAGAGAGAAGGGACCTCAGGAAGTTTCGACGAGTCAATAGAATGCTGAAGAGCAAAAGTAAGTGAAAGAGCAAAAGTAAGAGAAGGACGAACATCGACGACGTACCAGAGTTGAGCCATCGAGTTGTTCCGGAGCGCTGTTGGGTCCCATTGCATTTCGTACGGTTTTACCAAATGAGCTTGAATGAAGAGTTGTAAATCCCAGAACAGACGCAACGGCTGATGCTGCAGCTTCCCGAAACGAATGCCTCGTTCCGTCATTATTACATTCGATTGAGCTCATGTGGCTGTCGGTCTCATGGGAGGATGATTTGGCGAAACCCATCAAGGCCGATGCAACAGAATCCAACCCAGTTGTTGAATAGGAACTGAGGGTTGTTTGGTGGCTCTCTTGCATTTTTGCTTCATCTTGTAAATCGAACAAAAATTCGAATTCATTGGTCATTTTGTCATCCGGGACAATTTTTTATCAACGGGACCATAAATCCTTCATCCCATATGGAACCTGCGCAAAAATGAAAAGACGATTGAACCTGCGTGTTAACAGAGCAGCAGGAACTCACTTGCCAGACTTCGAGCAGGAGCTGATTGGGGCATGAAGGACACTAAATTGTCGAGAAGAGGAAGCGCTTCGTCGCGATTGTCGATCAGCGCAGGATCTATTGGTTCCGAATTGCGACGTCCATCGCGTAAATGACTAAATAAGGGCTGGTCGACCGAATGAAGAGGGAGAACTTCTTGCTCGACGCTGCGAGGGTCTAATGAAGAAGAGGAATCATGATTCGCTACAAACGAGTCAGAAAGATTTCCAGACGGATCAAGATTTCTGGAAGTTTCGGCCAAAGACTGAAGACCAGGAGAAGTCCCATAAAAATCCCGTAGATACTCTAATTTTCCAGGAGGGCAACTTGAAGGGCAGATGGGTGTGTTTGAAAAGGAGGACTCGCAGCTCATCAAGAGATTCTGCTGGAAGGGTGGGGGCGATGCATCCGATAGAGTTGGAGTTGGAAGATTGCGGAGTTCTCGATTCATCAAGTGTTCATGAACAAGAAAACTGTAATTATCATATGCGAATGTGGGCCACGGTGTCGATTGAAATGTTAGTTGTTCT